TAGGACATGCTACAAGTGAGAAGACAGTTAGATCTTATGTTCCTAGATAAAATTCCTAAGGACCTGATGGGTTTTATGCATAAGAACAACCCTATGTGCTCATACAAACCCTAATGCTTGGATCTAGGTTTCTCTATTGTACATGCTTTGAATCCAAGACTTACAACCCTAGATCTATCATATATAATTCGAAATTAACATCATGAAAATAGATCTAAGTGTTTACCTCTATCAAATAGCTTGAAATCCTTGTAGTCTTCTTGATCTTCAACTTAGAGTCATAATTGTAACTCCTCTAATGGTTCACAAACCCCACAAGCAAGAAGGCAATATGAGAGAGGGTGAGAGATGCTAAAATCGGCCCTAGGGTTCTCTTGGAATCAGGTGTAACCGATTTTCATAGCCTATGGGCCTTATTTATACTTGCAGGCTGCTAGGGTTTCAGTCTAAACCCTAATGGACAGCTTAACCACCAAGCAACCCAAGGAACCTTCTGGAATAAGGCCTTGGACGAAAATATTATGGATCCCCATCATAATTTCGTTCCCCCTTAAGTCCATTAAGTTTCCTTAGCCCAAAACTCAACTATCATACATTTGACAGTTTATACCCCTTTATTTAATTAATCTCTTTTAGTCACCAAATTAATTCCTAATTAATTTATGACCAATACTAATTAAATAAATATGTTTTCTCCTTTAATATATTATTCTTATAATATATTAATAAACCATAATATTCTCTCTCTCTCTCTCTCTCTCTCTCTCTCTCTCTCTCTCTCTCTCTCCTTAAATTACCTTGTCAAGTTGCTTTGGTGAAGGTAACCCAAAAGGACCATGCACAACCGGGTCAAGTACATACCAAATATAATTACGGGATTAGACACTAGTCCAACACCATTCATCTGATACCGACCAAGGATATTGTTGTCCATCTAAGTTGAGTAACGAGATCTACAGACAACTAAATAATTGATTGATTTTTGATGTACCAGAACATGTTTCCCACTTCTTGATATACCCCAATAATCAAGGACTTCCGAGATACTCCTTACTTTAGGTGCACATACAATTATTATGGGAGAAGACATATTAAGAGTGCATATGTTGTACACCCAGGTCGGATCTTCCGATCATGCATAGGGTAAAGCATATGACTGACCAGATTCAGAGGAATTGAGAAGTAGAATGTTTCATATACTATGTACCAGGTCAGATTATCAGTCACACAGAGGAGATATCATATGGCTAATAGATTGAAAAATTTTGCATAGCAGGAGATGTAGGGAGACAGAGTTACATATGTTGCATTGTAGGTCGGATCTCTTCCAATCAGCAGAGGAAGCAACATGTGACTAACAATAAGAAAGAAAGAAAATAACCTCCTACAGACCTAATTTATCAGAATTCCCCAGTCGCCTCGTCAACACCGGAATTAAGGACAAAGTTTGTACATCAAGGAAAAGTTAAACCACGGTTCTAGATATGGATTCTTTTAGTGTGACTGGTGGATTCTCATGTATATCTCCCTGCTCAACCTACCCGAGCGTCCTATTTTCAAGCTAAGTGGATCTATCTAGGTCAAGATTTTGTCAAGTCACTAGATTCCTTAAGATCATCTAAACCTAGTCAAGTCCATTTAAGTCTTTCGTGTCTACTAGCTTTGGTACTTTATACAGATTTAATTTGCCTGTTATCACACGTGTTGATATCACTTCCTATTTTATTACCTACAAGCAAACTTCATTATATATATATATATATATATATATATATATATATATATATATATATATATATATATATATATTGGAATTTTCATATTTTTCTTGACAAAATAAAACAGAAATAACACTATTTTTGGATTTTTTAAATTTTATGATTTTTGTATATTTCTCCTCCTAAATTTGTGCATGGGTGAGAATGAAAATAAAATGCGCAAATTTTAACTATCCTAAAACAAAAATTAGTCCTCAAAACGTATCATTTTCAAAAATCCCGCAAGCACATCGAATCGAGCTTTGTTAAACGGTTTTGTAAATAGATCTGCCACATTATTAGCAGTGGGAACCTATTCTAACCGAATGAGCGAGCGCTCATAACAATCTCTGATGAAATGCATTTTCATATCAATGTGCTTGGTTTTCGAATGTTGGGTTGGATTTTTAGTTATTTGAATTGCGGCCTCATTAATTCATGAAAGGCCAGAACCATAACTTTTACCATTATACCCTTGGGCTCTAAAGCACAACCCGAACTCTTGGATCACAAAATCTACATTACCCTCATCCAAATGGGTGTAAACCTCTCTTTCCCCAAAGTCCGAAGCTTATGATAATTGATCTTCGGGTCATGGCCCCGAATTATGAAACGACTCGAAACAAGGTGTTACATAAACAATTATAGCAATTAAACATATTCAAATAAAAACCAAAAAACGATTCTGTAAACAGTTGAAGCGTGATGCATCTAGAGAAAGGTGCTTCACGTCCACAAAGGAACACAATGTTCTAGATGGACACTCTTTGTTTCATAGGTACGGTTTTAAAATCGATCGAAAGCACGTCATGCATTGAAAGTCGCGTCATGCCTCATTGGGAATAAAACGATTTTTGTAAAATTTTAAAACCCTAATTAGTTTTTAAGTTTGTAAAAGGTTTAAACTTTTAATACAATTAAAGTGAATTGATCTAATGCAAACATAATTAACACAAATATATGAGAATCACATGTGCAAAGACGTGAACAAGTTGGTTGTGATACCATAATTGAGTTATGAAGATCTTTCGCCCCAAAGACAAAGACAACGAAAGCAATCATTAAAACAATAACTCATAACTTAAAAGTCGGATCTCTTGTTCAACCAATCAATGCAACAAATAAATCAACTAAAAAGAGGGAAAATGTATACATATGTTTGTAGCCTATGATTTCTTCTTTCTCACTAGTTGATCGGATGGAATAGAACCCAAAGATGGATTCCTTTGATGTGATCGCACCCAAAGAAGTCAAGAGAACAACTTGACACTTCTAGAATGAACCACCAACAAAACCCTAGAACAATTAGGGTTATGTTCTTGAGGCGTAACGTGACAAGCCAGGGGCATAACACACTCTTTGATGTTATTCAAGGTTTAGAGAGAAAAAAAGGAGAGCTTGCCGATTTTGTTAGGGTTTATTCACTTGGAATGATGTAAACTGATGTGTAGAATCCGACTAATGACCCCTCTGTTTATAGGGGAGGATTATAAGTCCTTATTAGATAATAACCCTATTATCTAGTAATTTCTATAAAAGAATGTATATCAAAAAGATTTGACTTTTAAATCTTTATACTTACCCCTTATAATGTACAAGTTTCTTTTAATTAATTTACAATTACCTAATTAACAAACTAGAACCCTATAATTCTCTTGTGTCAATAATTATTTATTTATGTCCTTATGAGTAACCCCAAAAAACCCTATTATTAATAATAATATTGCAAACTGTTATGAATGTGAACAATATTTACAACAAAAAAAAATTACTTTCTTTCGTTATTTTGTAATAAACTTCAATATTCCACTATTTTTTTTTTTTATTGTTTTCATCAAACTCATTACTAGTGAATTAAAGGTAATAACAATAATACTTCCATATTTTTGTTACTTTATTCTGTCACTTTAAAGTGAGTTTGATAAAAATAATGTTACAATGGAAATGACTTTAAATGGTAATAGCAATAATACTTCTATATTTTTGTCACTTTTTATCCTTTTGTACCGATACACACATAAATCAAAGAGTTTCATTAATTTTCATAATAAGCATTTATAACAATTTATTTTTACAAAAAAAAAAATAGCCACAAAACCCATCGAAATTTAAACCCTTGCTTCATGTAAAAAGACAATGGAAAAAATAGCATCATGGCCCATTGAAAAAGCTTCAAATACCATGACAATGGAGAGCAACTCACAATCACTTTCTAACTCTTTCACTCTTTTTCCCTTAGTCACTAGAACATGCCGAAGACAAACTCTCCTCGTACTAGTTACACCTTGTGGTGTAGATACTCTTTCTTTTGTCTTTGGCAACACAACACTATTAGAACCATGATGCATCTAATATGTTTAAAAGAATATGGGTAAACCCAAAGGATCTTATGCCAAATTACTAAACTACCCCTCCAACTTAATCAATACGAAATCCTTACACTTCCTTGGTCATAATCTAAATCTAACATCCTAACATTTACTTAAATTAATTAAATAACACCACCTTATTTAGATGAACTAATAATGCTAATAGTAACAATATGCCACTTGGAAATATATCCTAACAAAATAATACAACTACTTAGATGTCACCAAATGTTATTATTAACAAATCGCCCTTACATCATCTCATTAATTTCATGGAGCTTAGCATCTTTAATAACAACTTGTCATTATATCATATTATATAATTACTTAAAACCCAATACGATATAGTACTATTTATCTTAATCAACTTTTCTATCTTAACATAAAAAGGATCCTAGTGTTAAAACAATCATGTATTTTATAGCCCATATTGTAGGTCTAAAATGAAAAAGTTACACCATTTTATAAATTATCTTTTGAGTGTTAGTTGCAAAGACTTAGTGGCTGATGTTTGCAATACGCATCAAACAAGTCATGAATTTGGAATGTCGTGTATTGACATGTTTACCCTTCTCTTCTCACTAGCCATAATTTAGTGCTATTACGTACAATAGGAATCATGATTCCACTCTAAAAGCTTCATTGTGTAAAAAAATGGTGGAATCGGATTCCCATTAATCTACACTTTACCCTTCAATAAGACAACTTCTATTCCTTTTTTTTCCAAAACTCATATCCCCTTTTCTTTCCCCCCTTCCTTTATAGATTCTATCAGATTCAAATACCAAAAACTCTTTGTAAAAAATCACAAAACCCAATCTTTATTAATATCTGAAAATATGGTGAGTGTTTATAAATTATAATTAACAACAGCTCAGAACAAATATACAGTTGCAGAAAGAGCAGCAAGAAAGTAAAACTCACCAAGAATCTGCCCACAAAAAAAAAAAAAAAAAAAAAAAAAAAAAAATTCAAACTTTTTTCAATCACAAAATCAAACCTTCTCTCACAATTTGCTCCAAGAACGTTGCGACTTCCGCCATTGATGGTCTCTCACATGGATTCTCCCTCACAGCAACTTCTGCAATTTCTGCAAGCTTCAACAATGGCACGACGACTCGTGGCAACCCGACACACCTGTCGATGATCGCAGCTGCTTTCCCCTGTTTGATCAATGGCACAGCCCATTCGACGATGTTTGAAGGTGAACAGTCTCGATCGTTAGCTTTCCGGCCACTGAGAATCTCAAGCAACACGATTCCGAAGTTGTAAACGTCGTCTCTCATGTCAAGAATCACGTCGCCGTCGTTTCTGAGGAGACCGAAGTCGGAGATTCGAGCACCCCAATCGGAATCTAGGAGAATGTTGGAACTTTTCACGTCGCGATGAGCTATCGGAGGGTTGATTTCAGTGTGGAGAAATTCGAGACCTTTTGCAGCTTGCATCGCGATTCTTAACCGGAGCGGCCAGTTCAACGGTGAGAAACCGCCGTGAAGATGGTCGTGAAGCGTACCATGTGACATGAGTTCGTAAACCAGTAATCGTTCTCCCATTTCTGAACAATACCCTAATAAGTTTACGACATTGCTGTGTCGAACGCTGCAAAGAATCTCGAGCTCCATTTCGAATTCTCGACTGTTTGTGTGGATGATCGTGGCGGCGTTTGCTCGTTTCACCGCCACTTGACGGCCGTCGGGTAACACAGCTCTGTAAACGAACCCGTAGCTGCCTCTGCCTAACTCGTTAAACTCTTTGAATCCGTTTGTGGCGTCTTTGAGTTCTGAAAGTCGGAAAACTTGAGCGAGACCTGGACATGGTGCGACGGAGACCGACGATGGTGTGATATCCGGTGCGTCGGATTCTTTCTCGCCGGAAAATTGTTTCTTTTGTTTACCCTTTTGAGGGAGGAAACGAAGGAGTATACATAAGAGGATTGAAATTAATAAAGATCCGAAAATGGATGAACCGATTATGATTATCAATTTGCGTAATTGATGTAACCGGTGATCTTGATGTTGGTGAGGCTTCAGGTTGCAGATTTCCCAACAGGAACTGTTTTGACAAAGGGAGCATGAAGTGCAGACTCTATCGGCGTTTTGAGTACATGAACTCGAAGGGAAGAAGCCATTTGAGCAGTTGAATCCACATGGAGAACAGATGTTTAAATCTTTTCGAACACATAAGCTCGTTAAATCTGGTTCATGAAGAAGACTCGCATTGAAAGCGAAGTTCCCTGGGCCACAAGATCCAGGAGTGCATAAACCTGGACTGCATAACTGTAATGGAGGATCGATGTTAGATGGAGAAGACGCGTTTGCGAACCAACAATCGAGAACGAGATCATCTTCTCGAATCCCACACATGATTGAATCAGATGAAGCGATCGATAAAAAACCGGAATCTTTTGGGATTGATGAGGAGTTTACTTTCCCCCAACACTCAATCGCGTGATTATCTTCTCTGATTCCACAAAAATGTTGAGCACCGATTGCTAATGAAACAAATGAAGTTCCAATAGGTGGATCAAGAATGGAAGAATTGGAGAAACTTGAATCTCCCCAACATTTGATTTCACCCGATGATTCCACAACCCCACAAAGCGAGCTTTTTCCAGATGCTAAAGTGAGAAACTTGTCTTGTACATCGGGAACGATTAAATTTGATGAAGTTGGGCCCCAACATTTGATTCCGCCATCTTCAAGACTACCACAAGTAAACCCTTCACCAGAGACAATCTTTTTGAAAGAAAGCGAGCTGATCTCCTGATTGTAATACAGAGCACTCTGTTTTGAGCTGAAACGATTGTTCGATGTTTCAACGATGTCCCAACAATCAATAGAACCCGAATCACTGTCGGAATAATAAGATCCTCTTATAGCACACACATGATCTCTACCTGAAGAAATGTGTGAGTATGAACTCGATTGATATACCTGAGGAACAAGATCAGAACTCGAACCCATGGAATCCCAGCAATACGCATACGAGGTGTTCACTAAAATGCCACACATAAATCCAGCACCTCCACTAAGAGCTGCCATGGGTGGAACATCAATAGCGAACACCGAAGAAGTAGAAGAAGATGAACTGGTGTTCTTCCCCCAACAAATAACTTCTTGCTTTCCACTTGCATCAATGGCGCAAAAGAAGTCGTTTTGGCCGAATACGGCGGAGATAGGCCCCATGGATCCGAAGCCATATGCGAAGGAGAACGATGAGAGAAACAATAGAAGAGAGAGTGTGTTGTATAGGTTATTCATGGGTTTTTAGTGTTTTAGGAAAGGGAGAAAGTTTCATGGAGTTTATGGGAGGTTGAGTAATGGAGATGATTTTGTTGAGAAGAAGATGATTAGATGATGATGATGGAGGATAGAACGTGGGTGTTTCCATATTTTATGAATTATAAATAGAGGGTAAATCGTCAAGAATAGTACAAACTTTAGTTACTGTTTGGAGAGTGTGAGATCACATAGATGTAAAAGTGGAGGTCGTGGCTACTTGGTGATGTTTGTCATGTGCAATCTTTTATGCTTTTTTATTTTATTGATTTTAACTCTTTTTTTTTTTTATTAAAATATGTAATTATCAAGATGATTTAATACCATAAAACATGAATAATACAAACTTTCGGATTGATTTTTGATTTTAAAGACCTATGTGAAAAAATTAAAAATTGGCTCTAAAATATATTATCAACTAAGTATCAGATAGCACAGATTAGCAACGGTCAACAATGATTAAATTTTCGGAATTTGTGCGGTCGCGCACCTGACACATCCTTAGGACGATCACACATACATTTATGTTACCTTAGACATGAGTATTTGATTAACTCTTACATGACAACCTTAAAACAGATGTAACATGATTATGTAGTATCGTTTGTTAAAATATTTTGTTGTTTTTATGTTATAAACATAAATATTTTGTTTGAGACGAAAACAATGTATGGATTAAGTATATCTAAATTTATTTAAAGTAGGGAGGTTATTTTGTAAAGCTATGAAGTTAAGTTTTTATCAAATATATAAAATACATGTTAATATAAAAACCTTAAAAAATGATATTATAAATTTCTTAAAAACACCATGAAATGGTTGTCATTGTATATAGATGAAGAAAGTACAACTCATGAAGTACGTTAACATATTCCTTTGAGTCTAATTAGAGAGACGAAATATCAACTTAGTCAACCATTGTAACTAACTTTATATCAATTAAATATGAAGATATCGGTGATATAATATTTTTACAAACTTTGACCTTTATTAGGAGTGACATTGGACTCTACAGAAACAAAGATGAAGATGTGAGAGTGACGTTTTCAAGTTTCAACCTAGTTCTAACTTGATATGGATATGCGAACTAACTACAATCCCCATATCTACTAGGTTTATATTTCATATATATGTAAATTAATAACAAATATACATGTAGGAAAATGTATATATACTTGTACATAAAAATTCAGATACTACTTGCATGATTAGTTTTTAAGACATGAATATAAGATGTGGATGTCACATATTGCATGTTTTAGCATATAGTTTAAGTAATGATAAGCAACTTTTATGTGTGGATTGCTCATAGTTATCACCATCTATTTATAACTATTTTGTGATATCATGATCATATAAAGTTTATTTATTTTAAACTCACTACATAGACTACTTTTTAAAACACGTACTATGTTAAACTTTTTGATTTTTGTTCCTTGACCCACACATGATATGTGGCAGCAGAATGGAGGAGGCCTACATCTGATCCTTCTCCATGAGGAATCTGCCCTTCAAAGAGGATGTAGTCTACAGTATCTTTCACATCCTTAATCATATGTTTCATCTTTTGGATACATTGGCTTCTACTCATGGGCGACTCCGACCCATGTGTTGCAGGAGTCCTCCCCGTCGACTTCAATATATATGGAAACTTCACCATTTTGGTATTTTATTGATATAAGGAAACTTTGCCTATGGGTTGTTTTTTGTAACAAATTGACGGCTCTCCTCCATTCTTTGTATTCTAAATTTAGTGAGATCCAACTTTGAGAGAATGCTCTATATATTGCTTTAGTGTTTGAGATTTCTTATTTGAAGTGTTTATTGATTTGTTGTTTTTTAATCCCGCGAATAAGACGTTTTAAGTGGTTGGATAAAATTTTCGATAAACACTTGCTGACATATCTAAAGAGATTTTAATAAGTTACTTCTCTCTTGTTTATTTTAGTTGAATACTTATTTAATCATTTTCGATTAAGTTATTTTCTTATTATACATATAAAATACTATGCCAAACTCCAAAAAATAACTTATTAACTTATTATGTTTTGATACCGGATAAACTCATTACAACATTTTTTTTTATTTTTAAATTTGATTTTGACACCAGATAAACTAATTAAACTTTTTAGTTTTTACTAAAAACCTTAAGTTGTTTTAAATTAGCAATCTCAAACACCTCCTCAATAATGGAGAGAATTATAATTTCTAGAGGATCAGCTTAGTAGGTGCTTCATATTAAATCAATGTCTATTATTATTGATTTTATTTTATGTTCTTGACTGAAAATTATGTCAAATTTAAACTTTTTGAAACAATTCAAGACCAGTAAATATTACAAAACTTGCTTTCAAAATAGTATAATAATATCAGAGTATCCTAGAAACAAAGTCATAATGTGAAGAGCAGTACGATCATGCATTTGCCTTCCCGCGATCATCTGAGGTACCTGAAACCAAAACTGAAACTATAAGCACAAAGCTTAGTGAGTTCCCCCAAAATACTGGTACTCAACAAAGAACACATATACAAATAACAACATGTAATGGGTCCACAACTTTACAGACTGGATTACCCTTGGACCCATAATGTGAGTCCGGCTTGCCTTCCGGGCCCACAACTCACATCTGGCTTGCCACTAAGCCCACAGTACGAGTCTGGTATGCCCTACCCGACCCTTAGCTCGTATCAAGAATGCTCCTGAGCCCACAGTATAGTCTAGCATGCCCTGCCCGACCCTCAGCTCGTATCTGGAATGCTCCCGAGTCCTCAGTATGAGTCTGGCATGCCCTGCCCGACCCTCAGCTCATATCTGGAATACTTTAGGGTTTGTTGACTACTGCACGGAGCAGTACAACCTCAACTCATCCCACATAATATGTCAACATATAAGATAACTAATGCACATACAGATAATCATATAATAACACAGGCAGTGACGGAACGTAATGGAGGCCGGAGGGGGCTATGGCCTCCCTGATTTTGAGGATTCTAATACTTCTATATATAGTTCAATATATTTTATTGATGAAATAAAACCAATCACCATTAAATTGGCTAATTAGCCCCCTTGATTTTTAGATCTCTGTTATTAACTTAGAGTCCAAATAACCAAACCAAGCAACTAAAACTCCGAAATCAATGGAATGAAATAAATCTTGTTTCATTAGGAAAGTATCTCATAAACTCTATAAAAGAATAAAAATCTAACCAAATTTATACAAGTTTTTAACTCAAGCTTTGTGTTTAAGAAAACAAAAAACCCAGAAAATCTATTCTGGTCGCCGGAAAAATTCCTAATCTCACCGAAAATAACGCAGCCGCCTAACTGCCTCTTCACCACCGGTCTTCGTCCTCAAACATTCGCCTTTTTCATGCTTTTTATCAATCTCCGCCGGTCACCGTTTCCGGCCTCTGTAAGATCTACCTCTCCTCCATGTCCGCCGCCACCTTGCCGACAACCGCTCACATCTTACTTCGGTTGTGCGCTTGCTTGCTGCTTCTATGAAAGGTACTTTCTATCTCTTTTTCTCACTCTATTTCGCTTTATTTGTTTTTTCTCTCACGTAAATGGGGAAACGTGTGAATATGGATAATTGGTATAAAAGTAATCTATAAACAGGAAAAGTTTACATATGTATTACTAGTGATTTAGTATACATATATTTATTTTGATAATCATTAACATAAGTTTAAATAACTTATATTTGAGACGAAAATTATTTTGAAAAAAATGTTACATGTTTTTATTTAATTATTTTATGTTATTACTAAAAGAAACATACCTTATAATCGTGATATATATATATATATATATATATATATATATATATATATATATATATATATATATATATATTGAAGTTTGAATTCGGCCCCTATTCATAATATTTATGTTCCGCCCCTGAACACAAGTAGTCCTACTGATCTACCAAACTGGCATAGCATCTAGCATGCAAAACTAACTCATACTCAACATATCACCAACTACTAGGATATCAGATCTAATGGGTCGGCATTGGTGCCTTCGACCCCTTAATATAGTGGGGATAACTCACCTCACAACTGTCGAACTGAAGTGATAAGCTCAAACTCTCGAATCACAACAGTCCATGTTGACCCAACTCGTCGAGTGTAGATTACTGACTCGTCGAGTCCTTCCAGAACTCGAGAAGTCGTAAAAACCCCCGGTTGACTCGTAGAGTTTCCAAACAACTCGTTGAGTCCATGCGTGTCCAAAAGTCGAGAAAACTCTAACTGACTCGTCGAGTCGTCTTGTTGACTCGCCGAGTTCATGCAAAAACCCTCAAGGCTAATCTTCATTGGACTTGCCGAGTTGGCCAAGCAACTCGCCGAGTCCCTTCAGTCCTTTCTCCATTCAGATGGTTTTAAGCCACCGTAAAGCTCCATATGGATGTTACAGTTCAGGGTACCATCAAATGTAAGTAAGAGAGGGCGATGTACTGAAGACAACCTTGAAAACTCGATATGGCCACTAAGAGTTTGTAGCGATGCCTTTTGGGCTCACTAATGTACCTGCTGCATACATGGATCTAATGAACCATGTGGATAAACTTATGTTCGATCAGTCAGCGATCATGTTCTTCGATGATATTCTAGTGTTTTCCAAGACTCGGGAGCAACATGAGGAGAATTTGAGGGAGTTACTTAAGGCTTTAAGGAGGATGAGACATTATGAAAAGTTCTCCAAGTGTGAGTTTTGGTTATGAGAGATCCACTTCCTAGGCATCTTGTTAATCATGATGGTATATTGGTTGACTCGACCACAATTAAGACAGTGATGCAGTGACAGGTGTTGACAACTCCCTCTAAGATTCGAATCATCTAGGATTAGTTGGATATTATAGGAGATTTATTCAGGACTTCTTCAAATTATGGTGCCATTGACCTGTTTGACAAATAAGGGTGTTGTTTTTTTGTTGGGGTCCTAAGCAATAAACAACAATCAAGACTCTAAGGAT